GGGACATTATACATTGTCCAAAACAAACATCAAAGCTTATGCATTTAATTCAAACGTCCCTGTTAAAATGAATGGGAAATTTACCACCATTGTGAAATCACGGCGCAAGATTACGGCGACAACCATTTATGTTACAAAAGCAAACGGTGGTTGTCTTTTGAGTGGGTCGACTGGAGAAGAGCTAGGACTAATGAGCTTGCATTTGAATGCGGTACAAATAACAAAATTTCATTGACAGTTTGAAACATTTGACATTCCTTTTGTTCTGTTAGAAAAAGGGGGTGATGTAGTGTTACGTCACTTCCGGTAAGCCTCGGGGGAGGTATTAGTTGAGAGAGCGAGAGCGGGAAAGTAAACACATATTTTGCAAGCGAATTTGAGCTATAAAACTAGTAAAACCTAAGACATAACAGCATCTCATGCAGTAAGAAACAAGATGTATCTGTAAGTGCTTGTCTTAACCCTCGTGAAATTAACAAATATTTTCAATGTGTGAATACGGACCCAAATTATATGACTCCCGAGTCTCTTCAAATCTCCGAAGGAACAAGAATCCTTTCGTTGTCAATTCATGAAGTTCAACATCTTTTACTCAATCAAAAGCGCTCTTCATCGGGTCCGGACAATCTGCCACATTGGTTTTGGAAATCGTTTGCTATTGAATTAGCTCCTATTGTCACAGAAATTTTTAACATGTCACTAAAAACCGGCAAGGTACCTCAGAAATGGAAATCCGCAAATTTATTACCACTCCTTAAAGAATCACCATTAAATTCGTGCAACCAGTTAAGACCAATCTCTCTGACGGACATCATGAGACTATTCGAGAAGTGCGTGTATAAATCTGAAATCGCACCTATCACAAGAAACAACATTGGTCGTCCTGACCAATTTTCTTATAAAAAGGGTCACAACTCGACTATGGCCGTGATTAAATCCCAACATCAATGGCTAGAGTGGCTGGATAGAAACGCTAATTATGTTAGAGTGCTGTCCTTCGATTTCAGCAAAGCATTTGACAGTGTGCCGCACGAGCTTTTGTTTCAATATGTTAAAAAGCTACCCATTAATCCGTATGTGGTGAACTGGATAATTAGCTTTCTAGAAAATAGAATACAAAGAGTAATGGTTGATGGAATTGTTACAGAATATTTATATATTAATCGTGGTGTTCCTCAACGTACCGTTTTAGGCCCAGTTCTTTTCTCAATAATGGTCGATGATATTAAAACTGCTGATCCTAGTAATGCGTTAGTCAAATTTGCTGACGATTTGACGTTAAGAGTGCCTGGCAACGAAAGTGGTGACACATCTGGGTCTGAAGCTGCCTGTTTACAGGATTGGGCGGAAGAGAATAGAATGCCCTCAAACTCGGAAAAAACGTACGAAATGGTTGTGCGCAGACACACCTCTGTAGTTTTGTCTGAGCTTATCCCTTCAATTAAGCGAAAAACGACGCTAAATTAAAGCTTTTAGGAGTTACTCTACAAGATAATCCGTGCAACTGGGATTTCCACTTCGAAGAAATGCTCAAAAAATAGGTACGCGACGCGTACATGTATCTGCGAAAAAACTTGATTCACATTTTGTATTTTCTTGAAAGAAACTGAATAATGAAGATGACATGGGACAATTGAAATATTTCAGCACTTATATAATGGCAGATAAGATTTAAAACAGGGCTGTACACAGCGGGGAGTGCAGCAGGGCAAATGCTACCCCCACACCCGCACCGAGAAAATTTAACTAACTTTATAATATGATAATGATTGTAACAGATAATTATGCAGTCAGGAAATAAAAATTTCATGCAAACAATATTCAAAGTGTCTACACAGCAGGCTATTTAGTAAACTGTCACCTGTCAATTCAATCCATACTCATCAAATTTTCAAAACTTTATTGTAATCATATGAAGCAAAAGTTATGTCACTTGCCAATGTTAACTGTTGAGTGACATACACAAAATATTTGGTGAACATGTCGAAGACCACTGAATAATTGAGAATGATTTGAAGGTCATGAGCGAAGTATATAATTAAATTCCAGTTCTGTGCACAGTTAATGATATACCACACTTTTCGGTTTAACACGTACAGCACATTCACACAAAAACAATCGTGTTGTGGGAGATTATCGGTTTGAGTAGAAGGTATCACAATTTTGTACATTGTGTGCCATTGATCAAATCCACCATATAATATATGATTACTCATTGTAGCTGTTAAATTATTTTCCATACTAATGAATTTAGGTAAGATAGTCTTGCAAGTTTGTTGTTGACAAAGTTATCCAGCCAATATCCAGTACATTTATTCTTCATTCTTGTATTAATCTCTAAAGAAAAATATTTATGTTAGAAAGCAAAATGACAATGTAATGAGGCTCGGGAGGGTGAGGATTCTTTTATTTGAAAATGTTTGTAAAAATTTTGTTTAATTAACTCCAATGTGTAAAACCAAAATGTATAAGTAGTTTAAACTGATAACATCTTCAACCT